ATATATATATATATATATATATATAGAATGAAATGCACAAACTTATATTTTGTTTTCCCATTCTTTTGTAGGAGTTACCAAAACGAAATATAATACGTGATATGAGCTGATACATATTATTGTACTTGGTAACAGATATACAATATTTTTTCTATTTCAGATGGAATTAACACAGAAATCACACTTTTATAATCGTGTGGATTCGCATAATGTAATTGTCGCCATATTGTGATGTTGTAAAGATATAAAATGTTAACAATTATCTTCTGTCTTATTTGTCGTTAAATTTATGCTATTTTAAAGACCTGTCTTTTTCTTGACTCTACAAATCTTGATTAATCATAGGAAAGAAATTTCTCTCGAAATAATTTGAATTATTTTAAATATCAATGATCAAATATCTTCGATCTGTTTATTTATAAGGAGAATAATTTGGATGCTAGATTAAAAGAATGTTTTTAGGAAATTAAAATTGTTTTTGGAAATCCATAAAGAATCTGAGGCAACTAGTTTGTATTAAGATGTCTACGTATCAAGCGCATGTATACATGTATGTGTGGATGCGTTTTAAATTAGAGCATCAGATGAAGGTAACACTTGAGCAGAAGGCTTTAAACTGGTTCAAACAGAATATAGCATTTTGAAACTAAAATAACTGTATTCTTAATCGCTTTCAATTAAAAACTTTTGTATTTGTTTTATACTGTCCAAAAAAAATTGTAGATGAGGGTTTGAAACGTCTCATTAGACGTTTTTAAATATATGCTAAAAAGTTTTCATTAATAGCATTACGCCTTAATATATTTAAATAATTCTTATATTTAAATGCTAGACTACATTTAATACACTTATTTTTATAATTCTCAGTAAAGCAGTATTACTTAATTGAGATTACTGGTAATTATTCTAGGTTTCTAAAACTGCTTAAATGAATGAAGTTAATGATGAAATATGTATGCTCAGAAGAGCATATGGATGTTCTAGAGCCACTAATACATAATGTAAATATTTGTAAGTTACCTTTCTGGATTATATCGGCTAAACTTGTATTTTAGGTAATTGCGCAGTCTCAACAATTACGATTGTACATGAAAATAATACTGTTATGATTCATTACGCGCATAAATTGTAGTAGAAGACATGCAATAATCAAAATCGTTTTAAGATAACATACTAAACCCTATATATATAAAAGTAACTAACGAGCTATGTATATTTGTTTGGTTTTGATGAATCACAACCAAAGAAACTGTGTACATCCCACCACTATATAAGGCCTACTTTGTTTGTTTGCTTCGCTCTTCCAAACAACACCGATGAACTGTGAATTCAACGAAACTAGTCTGCTGCAACGAGAGTAACGAACCAAAGAATAGATTAAGCCTTTACGTCATCATCACTGAAATTATCGTTTTATTGAGGTAAAGAAATTCACAAATAAAAAAGCTATATACTATGTCAAAACCAGGAGAAAAATCTGATTACTTCATCTTTGTCAGATAGTAAGAAACTAACCTTTATTCTAAACCCTTTATATAGAACAACCAGAAAAAAGATATCCAAATAATTTCTGTTATAAGTCTTCATATGCCTATATCATAACAATCTTGTTGTCCTTCATGGTCCTTGGCAAATTCTTTCGATTTCTCTGGTAAGGATGTGTATATTTCTACAATATCAAAATGATGGTCCTTCTTCAACTTCTCTGTTAAAGAAGCACTGTCCTCTAAAGTAGAAATGGTAGTCCTTCGAATTATCTGGTAACGGTGCACAAATGTGAAACACATATATTCCTTATCATTCATCATTTTACGTAATAGGGATCAACCAGCTATTCCAGCTTATTAAAGTTACTGATATAGAAATGCGTCTACATAACGATGACAGAAGG